TACTCTTTTTATACTGTTACATTAAAATCTGACGTTCTGTCTTGAACTTTGAATGGATCTTTTATCCATGCATGATTTTGTAACATAATGCATTTGTTGTTTGGAAAATATTGGTTCTCTGAGTTATACAGCTTCCAACTGTTGACACAATTCATCACACAATATTAAAAAACATACACGCACTCATTAATTTTTAACCACGTCTCATCAGTCTTTAAGTCCTGGGAGGCTACCGAGCACACGGTGGCAGATAGAAGGTTTCCAAAGTCTAATTTTTTGCTTGAAAACTTGAATCTTCTCATTGGCAACAAACACTGTCAGTTGTTTTGCTTGAAGAGACAGTTCACGTCTTTCATTCCGTGGAAATATTTGCCAAATATCAAGTTGGAGTCATCCTCTTCTGCCTATCAGCTGTGCTTTTCGAGCCAAAACGATGTTCTATGGAAAATGCAGCTAGTTCTGCTTGCAGGCTGGTCCTGCTGTGCCTTTCTTCCCCCACCACGTTTCAGGATGTGTAGATGTGCTTTACGATCGTTTTCCAGTTTCCGACACAGAAGATTGAAAGGCTGTGTATTTAAAATTTGAGATTTAATAACATTAGTAATTTCTACTGCTTCATCAAAGACATTCTCAAGTGAAACTGGACTGTTTTTCCATTGTGGGGTGCGGGGTGCTGAAGACCTCTGTGGCCACTGGAGCACTATGGGGGTCCCTGCCTGATGCCTCTCTGAGGCACCAGCCCTTTGCCCACCATGCTCTCGAACCACCCAGAGAACTGTCAGCACAGTGGCAAAGGCAGAGTGGCTTAGCGTCAGTATGAAAATAGCTTTGATTTCAAGGACTCCCCGAGGATTCCGGATTTCCTGAGGGGTTTAAGGACCATGATAATTTGAGAAGGTTTCATGTAACATTTTTTAAGTGATGGTTAACCCTAATGCCAAGGGGCACCTGGGTAGTGCAGTCAGTTAAGTGTCTGGTTCTTGGTTTCAGCTCAGGTCGAGATCTCCAGGTCGTGGGATCGAGCCCCATGTCAGGCTCCGTGCTAAGGGGATGTCCGCTTTTCTCCCTCTCCTTCTGCCCCTCCCCCCCGAAATAAACAAATAAATCTTTCAAAAATATCCTCCTGGGGCACCTGGGTGGCTCAGTTGGTTAAGTGTCTGCCTCTGGCTCAGGTCATGATCCGCAGGATCCTGGGTTCGAGCCCCACATCAGGCTCCCTGCTCTGCCGGGAGTCTGCTTCTCCCTCGGCCTGCTCATGAGATCTCTCTCAAGTAAATAAACAAACAAACAAACAAAATCTTTAAAAAATAAAATAAAAAATACCCTACTCTCAAATATGCCATAGCTTTGAGAAACAACGAAATAGAACTGTATATTTTCATATGGAATTTTTTTCCAAATCAAATGAAATATGCCAAAAATATTTTTTAAAATCATAGAACAGTAACGTTTTATGTTTTATGTAGTATAACATCATCACGTTACATTAGTACATGTATGTGGGTGACATTTACACAATACACACTGTCCTGTTAATAATTTCTTCTGAGGACCTTCAAGTTTTTAGGATGTCTGTGGTTGAATTGATTCTGATAATATTCTCATATGTTGTCTCATTCGATGACTAAATAATTTTTAAAGATGTTCTGAGAGGGGAAGAAAAAACCCATTATCTTAGCTCAACGCCTCCCTCCGTCAGTCCTTGAGTCCCTGACAGGCTGCACAAGGAACACTAACCAGATTCCTTCCCAGGAATATCACGGCATATGTTCCTTGGGAAGGAACAAGGTGGCCTGGGGCCGGACGAGGGGTACAGGGCTGGTCTCCGGCTAGCACCATGCTGGGAGCAGGGCCTCCAATCTGCTGGGGGGAGCAACCCTCCTTGCTGTCAAGATTTACAAATAGCCTGGCTTTTCGCAGTTTGGGGGGGATGAGGAGGAACTGGATGCTTTTTCCCCTTGTTGTTTAGACATTTGTGAAACCTGTAGGGACAGGCAAAACAGAACAAGACACCCTCTTGTACATCAGGATGGCCAAGGGTGGCTGGGGATGGCCCGGGAAAGGCTGGACTGACTCCCTGCTTCTCGGGGGTGGGGGGTACTATGGGCTAGGGGACAAGCCCACAGCAGGGCCTGGAAGGAAATTCCACTCGGCAGGTGGCGCGTGATGCCCAAAGGGGCCTCAAGGACTCCAGGTGCGGAAAGAGATGGTTGGAGTCCTGACCGCACTCCTCCAAGATTCTGAAATCTCAGATACCTGACTTCGTTCCCTGACTCTCAGCTTCCTGAGTTGCAGATGGGCCTGTAACAGCACTCTCAAGACTTTGTTGGTGAAGGATAAAGGAGACAATATGTGTGAAGCTTCAAGCAGAGTCAGGCACACAGACACTCAATAGAAGGCCGTTTAATCATACGAAGAATGTGTACTAACCAGGTAAATTGTGGGAGGAGTGTCCCACTAGTCCCATGTCCCTTTAGGGAAAAGCCGGGCCAAAGGCTGGCAGGTGGGAGGGGGAGGGTGATGCTGGCAGGTGCTGGGGCTCGGGCATAAGTCTGAGGTCCAGACCCAGAACAACCACACCTGTGGGCATGGAAGGGGGAGTGGCTGCAGGGAGGCAGGCGTCAGGAAAGAGCCCAAGCCCAGGAGACAAGGAGAACTCAGTAGGCACCCCTCTTGGAAGCAGCCAGACCCACGCAGAGCGCCCGCTGTGTGTACCTCAACCACAGTGTCACCATTGTTGGCCCGAAGGCAGGAAGGCAGCAGCCGCCCCTCAACCCCAGGCCAGCAAGGAATTCGAGAAGGAATGGTGGTCAGTGAAGGCTGACCACCTGCCCACCTCCTCGCATGTCAGGCCCACCACTTGCTGAGACCCGGGCATGGGGGCCCAGCTGCTCAGACTCTCCCAGCCTGGGGCTCAGAGGGGTCCTAGCCTGGGCTGGGCTTCTCCCTGCTGCTCAGATCCCTGTGCATGGAGGAAGGAGGCCAGAGCTGGTGCCCAGTGGGGCTGGGCCCTCGAGGTGTGTGAGGCCAGAGAGCCGGGCCTTGGGGCCTGCGTGGTATCTGAGCAAAACCTAAGCGCTCGGCGTTAGTGCCTCGGGCGCTGTGGGGGACGGAGAAGCAGCGACAGCGAGTCTAGCTTTCGATGTAGTTGGAGACATAACGTCACACATGAGAAAATAATAATGTAGCGTGTAAATTCTAAAATGTGGTACAGGCACCCCAGGAACTTGTTTATTCTTCCATTTATTTACTTCTGTGTAATAAGCCCACGTTCCCAGAAGCCCCGAGAACGTTGATAGAGTTCCCTACTGACTTAAGACTTGGGTGTAGTGGGGCGCCTGGGTGGCTCAGTGGGTTAAAGCTTCTGCCTTCGCTCAGGCATGATCTCAGGGTCTTGGGATCGAGCCCCACATTGGGCTCTCTGCTCAGGAGGGAGCCTGCTTCCTCCTCTCTCTCTCTCTGCTTCTCTGCCTACTTGTGATCTCTGTCTGTCAAATAAATAAATAAAATCTTTAAAAAAAAAAGACTTTGGTGTGTCAAAAATAAGCAAGAAGAAAGAAGAAAGAAAATTAAACAAAAACTAAAAAAAATCACTGCAGATATGAAAACAGACTAATGTCCTTGAAATATGAAGGATTTCTACAGATCAATAGGAAGGTGAGAAATAACCAAGTATGACAATGGACAAAGGAATCATAATGACACAGTTTGTAAAAGAGAAGCGGACATGGATAAAGTACCCGGAAAGTCAACCTCCCTCATCAATAAATGAGTGCGGGTCGGGACAGTGAGTTACATTTTTCAGACTGATAAAAATTACAGTTTGATCAGACATCCTGATGGTCAGGGTTTCTAGAAAAAGCCACTCATACTCCATACCCAGGAATTTAATTGACTGCGTGTTTCTGCAGAGCATTGAGAAATTCCAAATACCTTTTTTATGTCTTGGCAGTTTGATTTCTAGAAACGCATCTGATGACTATCCCTGCACAGGGGCAGAAAGGTACATAAAAAAAGGGAGACCCTCCATACAGCATTGTTTTATACATGAAGGAAAAATGTAAATTCCATCTTCATGAATAGGGGATCATGTAAATACATTTCTTTACGCTTACGTTATGGTGTATTATGCTGTCTATAGAAAGAATGAGGCTGATCTAGCCATACTGACATGGGAGTTATCTAAGATACACTGATAAAAAAACAAAATGGGAAGCAGCGAACCGCGTGTGTCATGTGACCCGCGGGGTGCACGTTGGCTCATGTGGTTCGCTTGTCCATACAGCAAACACCCAGAAATGCCTCTGAGGAGTGGGACGGAGGCCGGACAGGAAACAGGATTTATTGTTTTATTTATTATTTATTTTGGACCCTTCTGCAATACTGGAATTACTTTTCAAACCAGCTGGAAATAGGTGCTGAGCGCCATTCTGTACCTAGCACTCTGTCGAGCCGCGGGAGAACAGAGAGGAGGGTCACACGTGCTGACCTTGAGCAGCCCCTCAGTTAAGACAGGAATATAAACAGACGGGGTGGGGGCCACCTTTTGGGAGTGACAGAGTGGGCAGGGTCTGCAGGGAGGAAGGGAAGGGGGCTGAAGGGGGAGAAGTCTACCTTTGGAGGAGCCCATGTGTGAGTGAGAGCTGAAGACTTAGTGAGGGCAGGTAGCAGACCCTAGGCTGGGAAGGAGAACGAGCACAAGGGCATAGAGATCTGCCCGCAAGCGGGGTGCTTGGGGGGTACTGTGGCTTGTGACGGCAGGTGACCATGAGCACGTGAGGAGAGGCATGGCTGTGGAAGGAGGCTAGACCACGTGGGCCTGGGACTTCCTGCAGGCGGTGGTCAGCTGCTCACACCCCAGGAGTTCTGAATATGGAATCATTTGGGACTGCAGCAAAAATGGAGGCCACTTGGAGGAAGAAGCTTCTGGTAGCTTCTAGAAACTTCTAGGATTGTCTGAGCAAGATCCCAAATGCCATCTCCTTCGCGATTGTTTTTTTTAAATCTTGCTGTGATGGGGAGAGTGTGAAGGGCCGAGCAGAGAGAAGCCAGAAACTGGGATCAGGTTGTCTGAATCACTCCTTTGTAGAGGGTGTGTTTCCCCAACTGACTCTGGGCTGCTGTAAATGAAAATTGTGGAGAGAGTTTGCAGGTGGGTGTGCGGGTAACAATTCCCCCAGGGGCCTGGCTGTGAAGATGGCTGAGGTCCTTCTTCACAGCTGTCCAGGATGTCCAGGGCTGTGTGGCTTCCTGAGGCCACCTCTGTGACCTCTCAGCTGTGGAGGAAGGATGGGGGAAGAAGAGCAGGTGACACGTTTGTAAACGTGTGGTTCCTTTTTGTTCATCTCTGCCTGCGTTTATATCCAGACTCTCTGAGGGGATCAATTGTGGATGACATCAGCAATCCCGAGGAGTTGGACTCCTAAGTCATCCTCAAGGGAACTGGTATCTGGTTAATTGAATTCTATGGCTCCAACTGAGTTACCACAGTGACAAAGGATGATGGACGTGCCAGAGCTGAGAGCATTAAGAGTGAATTCAATGCTCCTGCCCCACGATGGGAATTCAGTCTTGCTGTGGGAGTTCAAGGAACCGCAGCGGTTCACAAGGCCTGACTCATGATCGTGGGCATCAGTTTTCATTGCCCAAGATTCTAGACCTAAGAGGTGCTGGAGTTTGGACTGAATCAACAGTTTCATGTATGTCTTGGCTCAAACCCCTTCACTGGCTCCCCGGTTTGGATGGCCAGACTTAGCAAACAGAAATGCAGAATGCCTGGTTCAGTCTGAATGTCAGATACTAAATGAATAATTTTCCAGCGTCATTATGTCCATGCACGTGTTAGTTGCTGCTTATCTGAAACTCAGGTTTAACCAAGCATCTTGTATGTCATCTGGCAATCCTATTCCCAATAGCTACAAACTAAAGCCCAAATTCTGGCATCCAGTTCTCCAGGATTTAGCCCCGACCTGACTTTGCAACCTCATTTCCCACGCACTGTTCCCTTTCTGGTCTCCAGTTTAGTTTCTAGACAAAGCTTACTACCTCCTATGTGTTGCTTTGCCTTTTGTTTCCTGCCTCTCTAACTTTTCCAACACTTCTCCCTTTGTTTTCCATTTTAAAGGTCATGTCTAGTCTGCCATCCCTAATCCCCAGTGAGGCAGAACCTCTCTCCTCTTTAAACATCCTTGGTATCCTTTTGAGCAAGCATCTACAATTATAGAGGACACTTATGGCTTTATTGGCCTGGTACCTCTTCCTTTGCCTGGAAAAAAAAAATCCCTACTTTTGACAATTGTTCCTCTGACTCCAACCACTTGATTCTGACAGGAGTTTCTATACTCTCCTTGACTCCGTCCTCTGGCCACAGATGATTGGCCCAAAAGTGGAAACGTGATCCAAGCTGGGCCAATGAGATCCTTCCCTAGGTGATGTTTATAGCTCATCTTGTCAGGCACTCAGCCCAGACCCCACTCCAACGCCTGAACTGAGCACTGAGCCAGGATCCCCTCTGAGGTCAATGACGTCATCATTTCACCCGTAATGATCTATAGTCCTAGTTGCCCTGTCACCTAAGGACACTCAGCCCCATGTGACCCTGGTGATGCAAGAGGATGTAATGAGGTAGGCACTGCCCCAGCAGTCCAGAGGGAGACCTGGACTCTAGTCAGAGCTTGGCTACTAACTCCCTGCAAGAGCCATCATCGCAACAGTCGGCAAACCCTTCAAGAGCAAGACCACCCCTTACTCTTTGTAGCGTCAGCTACGTACACCCAGCAGGTGTTAGATAGATGGTAGAGGATGGTGGTGATGATAGTGACGGTCACAACGACACAGCAAGCCACTGCCTCCCTCTGGGACTTCGCTTTCCTGACTATCAAACTGGGGAATTGGATTTGATGAGTTTTAAGAGCACCTCCATTTCAAAGAATCTTGTCACCACCAACGCCAGCCCCGGAAGATCCTGATGACTGCCTCATGACACCTACAGGCCACTGACCCACGATTGACGTTGCTGTCAAAGACAGAGCCATCTTGGGGCCCCTGGGTGGCTCAGTCTGTTAAGCATCTGCTTTCAGCTCAGGTTACGATCCCAGGGTCCTGGTATCGAGCCCGGCGTCAGGTTCCCTGCTCGGCGGGGAGTTGGCTTCTCCCTCTCCCACTCCCCCTGCCTGCTACTCTGCCTATTTGTGTGCGTTCTCTCTCTCTCTCTCTCTCTCTGTCAAATAAATAAATAAATAAAATCTTTAAAAATAAATAAATAAAATAAAACCCACACGTCTTAGCAAAGTTGCACTTCAATTGAACTTCTGCTAAGCCCAGACGTGTAGTGGTATTTATGATTCGCCGGACGGCCACAGTGGCATTTAGTCCTTTAAAAAAAATAAAAAATGACAGGGCCTGTGAGAAACCCATCAGCCACTTTGTGTCATAGTCAGAGAGAGTCACTAATGGCTTTGTCCCCTGGCTATGGCTTCCCAGAGGGCATTGAGAAGGATTAAAAGGTACCGAGGGAGTAATTCTGAGACTTCAATGCCTTTAATATGTCACAGGTGAGAAAATGAAAGAGCTTGTACATCTCTGTGCTGACCAGAGGGCTTTGAGACACATTGTCAGGAAGAGCCAGAAATCCCAGGTCGGGGCCAGGAAGCTGAAGTAGGAGCCTGTCTGAGGCTGGGGTGGGGAAGCTGCCTGTGGGAGGGGGCGTTGCCCACAGCAAGTGCTGCAAACACCGGAAGTCCAGAAAACTTGGGCAGAGGAGGCTCCAAGGCATGAGGAGGGGCTCATGGTTCCTTCTGGAAAATAAGATCATGCAACTGAAGAGTCTTCCGGGCCATCGCAAGAGTCGGGAATGTTCTGCCAGTCGTCCACTGTCTAAAATAGTTTACTTTGTAAGTAGAATAAATATCTAGGAAGGAAACAAAGCTTAGAGAATCGAAGGCAGTAGAGTGTAAACTTGCTGACTGTGGTTTCAAATCTACACATTGTAAGCCAAGAGCTGTGTCCAGGTGGCTGTCTCATCCTCAGGCTCAAGTCACCAGGACCTGGGTGCAGTCCTGCCAGGCACTGCATCAGCTCCTCTACCCAAGCCTCGGGGTCTCCAGACAGCCCCCGAGAAGGGCCTGCCAGTTAGCAAACCAAACCCTCCAACAGGGTCTGGCCCCAGCCCAAGGAAAGCAAAACGCAGACCAGGCATGAGCAAGGACAAGACAGAGCCCATCCCACCAGACTTCACCCTTCCCAGGCTCCCCTCCAGAGAGGGATGCAGTGGCCACGACATGTATTTTCCCAATCAATTCCTACAGAGGGTTTCGTATTTTGTACCTCGAGAGCGGAGAGGGTAGCTGCAGAAAATCGCCCCCACGCTATAGAATGGACGGATCAGGTGTGTCTCTTTACACATGTGTGTTTCCGATTACTCAGACTCAGGAACATCCACAGAGAACGGCAAGGTCACGCACGCCTTTTGCCTCGTTGTGTCTGAGACGGCAAGACGGGTCCCTGGCACCTCTACTCGGGAGCCATACAGGGAAATCTGGCCAGGGTTCTCGTTCTTGCTGGGTCTGCTCTAACCAGCTCCGTCTGATCCAGTAACCAGGATCACAAAAGGTGCCACTGGTATTTCCATCAGGACGCAGCGGACACAGGCTGCATTAGGTTGGACTAAACGAATTTTCTTGAATGGGGTCATCCAGGGTCCCTGCCTTCATGCTGATTCATTATACATAAAATAAAAATACTTTAAAAAATATTTTAAAAATTATGAATGTTTGGGGCGCCTGGGTGGCTCAGTGGTTTAAAGCCTCTGCCTTCGGCTCAGGTCATGATCCCAGGGTCCTGGGATCGAGCCCCGCATCGGGCTCTCTGCTCAGCAGGGAGCCTGCTTCCTCCTCTCTCTCTCTCTGCCTGCCTCTCTGCCTACTTGTGATCTGTATGTCAAATAAATAAATAAAATCTTAAAAAAAAATTATGAATGTTTTAATGTGAAAAAATTAAATTTAATTTAGAGGTGGCTCCAGATATAAACATACATATAAACACACAAGCAGAATAAAAGTATGACCACAGAGGGAGTCTGGCATTACCAGCCAAGATCACCCCGTTGGGTGTTGCTTAAACCCCCAGTGGGGGCATTGGGTGTAGTCTCCCGGTTCCAGCCCAGGTCAGTTTTTCTCATCACCGTCTTGGTGTTTGATCCATTCTAGCCCCAAAAAACCATGACAAAACAGGATCTGTTGGTGTCCATGAACTCTACAGAGAGGTCTCCTTCTTTCTGTCTGCCAGTTTCCATCTCAATGGCCCGGGCTTTATCTGCGGTCCTCCTGCCTGGATGTTTTCATTTGTCCTGCAGGATCTCTGTGGGGATCCAACGTGGGGATGGGTGTTCTCTCCAGGCACTTCTTTCCAGGGGGAACAATTCTGAAAATCTTCCTCTCTATATGTGGGTCACAGCAGCAGGGCCTGGGGGATGTTTTGTAGACCGCCTTTCTTTAAGCAGGAAGACACGTTCTAGAGCTGAATGGAAGACCTCCCTCATCCATGGCTGCTTCTTGTGTTCCCTTGTTATGCAGTCCTTTAGTGGGAACAGTCAGGGTTCAGCACTGTCCCCGTTCTAGACCCTCCTCTCTGGGGCTTTGCAGTATGGCTATCTCAAGCCCGGATCACCTACGGTATCCTCCCAGCAGTGATGCATTCGTCCCTGCAAAACAGAAGACCCTGATTTAAAGTTCCCTGTGGAATTCTCGTCCAGAACCCAAACCCACCAGAGCATATGTGTAATCCCTTCTCCTTCTTCTTCCTCTTCTACCACTTCCTCCTCCTCCTCCTTCGAGAGACAGAGAAAGACAGAGAGACAGAGAGCAGGGGGGCAGGAGGGAGAGGCAGAGGGAGAGAGAGAATCTGGAGTAGGCTTCATGCCCAGTGCAGAGCCTGAGGCAGGGCTCAAATCCCATGACCCTGAGATCATGATCTGAGCCAAAATCAAGAGTCGGACGCTTAACCAACTGAGCCACTCAGACACCCCATGGAGTCCCTTCTTTTTCACTCAGATGAGCCATTTCTGCCAAATACAATGGTTCCTAAAGTTGTACCCAAGTAAGATTTGTGTAAATTGAAATTTTAACAGCAACCCTGCAAATAATCTATTATTTTCGATTTAGTGCACTTTGGTGTACAATTGCTTAATCCCTCTATATTTTAGGTTTTGTGAATTATGTTTTTCTAAGAGTGTGTGGTTTTAAAGAAGAAACTGTCTCTGGAGACAAGGTTTCATTAAACAGTAATCAAGATAGAAAGGGTTAACGGCAGAAAAATTAAGTAACAGAAGAGCATTGCGTCTTGTCCCCTGGAAGCAAGGCCAGGTCCCAGCTGGAGGAGGCAGCCTCAGTCTGAGAGCAAGGGAATGAGAGTTGGAGCAAATGTATGCATGAGAGAAGGGGTGCACTCCCAGACAGAGAGTGGGGGCCTGCGGGAGCCTGCCAACAGCCCGAGTTACATAGACAACATGAGGTGGCCTGTCCATGGCCTGAGGGGCCTGTCCTCAGCCTGGGGCCTGTCCTACACGATGGGAATGTATCCTGGCCAAATTTCCTCCATGGTTCTTTGGTCTTGAATTCTCTAAGCCACTTTGGGTCCCTGGCTAGAGACTGTTTACTCATCTGTGCACTACTGCTGGGATGCAAAGTGCCCTGTGAGCATTGTTAAATGGAGTTCCTCCAGCTTGTCCAATAATTTTCTCTCTCGCTGGGTCACATCCATGAGGACACACACAGTCATCCTAAGGCCCACACTTTGTCTTTGTAGGTCTTACCTCCGGACCAAATTGTCCATTGCTACTGCTGTTTCGGGACTTCAGCAAGTTCCTTTTCCCGGGGAGGCAGCTTCTAAGGTCTGTTCAGCAGCTATTTCCTGGGTGCCTATAATCGAATGCAAGGGCATGGGACACATGCTACAAAGGCACACACCAATAGCAGGTACACTTCCTGCCCTAAACAACCTAGAACTATTACAAAAACAAGACAGGCGCTGTATTTTGTTGTAGAGATCTTCCCTGGGCAAGCTGACCACAGCCCATACAAAGCCCCCAGCAGACATGATATTGACATGGTCATCGCATTCGGTGTCTGATCTCAGGCAAACACTTGAGACTGGTTCACACGACCAAGCTCCTGAGACTGGCAGATTAGCTGGTCACCCGTGTGTGAGCTAAAGACCCAAAGACAGCTGCCTAGAGTCCCAGAATGTTTGGATCAACTCGCCAGCACCTCTGAGGGTGTCTACATAGGAGGCAAATGCCAGAGAAAGGTGGGAGAGTGAGAGACTGGGCTAGTGTCATCAGCAATGTTTATCGCACACCTTCACTTCCGCTGCAGGGACAGGCTGCCGTGGGGATGCTAAACTCATGTCACCTGGTCAGGGCCAAAGACACCCTGCTTTTCTATAGTCTGTGTTCACTTCCATTGACACATTCTTTTTTTTTATTTCATCCATTAATTCCATTGAATGGATTATGGTCAAGTCATGAAATCATGCTCATCCTGCTCCTTTCCTGAGAGAGGTTCTGCCTAGGAGATGATTCTGTCTTTCAATCACTGCTTTAAGCAGCTTGACTCTGGGACTCTGACATGCTTCCCTGTCACAAATAACCACCTTCACGGTACAGACTCCATTGTGCCAACTCAATGAAGCAGGCTGGGTTAAGTGTCCAGCAGGAGAGCTATGGAAGGACAGAAGGGAGAGGGTCACCGAGATGCTCTGAAGACCATCACGGAGGCGATGGAATTGGCAGAGGGCTTTGGGAAATGTTGGGATTTTAATAGGCAGAAGGGGGGAGGATGTTTAGATGAGCAGAGACTTGGAAGAAAGCAAGCAAAAAGTGTCGGTGGTATTGCTAAAGAGACAGTTATAAAGGAGAGTCTGGGGAGATGGAGGTATGGAGGGTGGAGCCCAAGTAGTTGGTTCCAAGGCAAGGAGAAGCCGTTGAAGGGTTTTGTATGGGACAGTGACACGATCAAAGTAGAACTTTAAGAAAATGAAGTCAGCAATGGGAGAGGAAAAGCCCAGTTTTAGACAGACTGAGCGCCAAGTAAAGGATTCCCAGAATAGAATTATGGTGTTTTCACAAGTACAAAGACCTTTGCCAGAGGGAGTTTAGAGTCTGTTACAAATGGAACCAAAAAATGGGTAATAAAGTAATACTGAGCTTCTATATCCAAAAATAACCTCTGGCAGCAGGAAATTGTTTTGCAAGTCAGGCTGTTATCTAAGGAAAAGATTTTCCAAATTCCTTTATTCCTTTGGCGTATCAAATATGGGAGTCTACAGAGTTCCCATGAGGCTTGTAGGAGAGATCTCGTTCATCACTGAAGTTTAGCTGGAGGGTCAGTGAGACAGATATGAGGTAGGGGAAGGACAGGAAAAGTCCACACTTTCCCTGGCTTCATGGATGGAAGAAAGAGAGGGAAGACAGTGAGGAGAAAAAGCAGATGACATGGAACTCTCAAAATCCACTATCCAAGCTCAGACATGGACAGGTAAAGAGAGCACCCAATCAGTTCAAGGTGATATCAAAGGCAGAAGGCCTTACCTAAGGAGGTTGTCGTGACAGGAGGAGAAGAACCATGGCAGAACTTGGGGTGGGCAGCCAGGCAGGGCAGGGTGCCAGAAAGGGCAAACACTCAGGGATCTGCAGCCAGGGTGCCCGGCTGAACCCATGCCAAGTAGGCAGAAGCCAGGTAGCAAGTTCCATTAGCTTCAGACTTCGGCAAGCAGGAGGAGTCCAGGTAGACCAAACCTATAAGCCAGGGACAGAGGGGTAGAGGACACCATCATTGGGCACCCCAAGTCCCCACTGTTGCTATAAACAAAGGTACAGTCTTCTCCATACACCCAGACACCATCTCAGAGCCCGAGAGGCAAAAGGAGAAGAGTCTTATCGATTGACCATCTTTATCCAAACTGAAGTTCCCTAACAGGTCCAGTTAAATGGACAGATCAGACCATGTTGAAACAGGATTCAATAGTAAATTAATTGTTGCCATTAATCAGCAAGTGGAGGGTGGAGGAGAGAGGATGCTAGGAGGAAGACCATATCAATTATGGAAAATCTAAAAATTGCACTTATTTTTCTCTGCACATCTAAGTGAGTGATACCAAGTTACATTTTCCACCTCTCAAGTCATGGATGAAACAGGAGAGGTAGCCGCTATGGGGCTGAATAGAACTTCGAGACAGAGACAGAGAGCTTACATACAGCCAGTAGAAGACTGAGGGCCACCTCTTGGAAATGCCCTCTGACTGTATCTAGCAAACCCCGTGACCTTGACTTGAGTGATCCTGTGCATGTAATTGTTTCTACGAAAGCCACCTTTAATTGAAGCCTCTGCCTGTCCAGCCTATGTGAACTGGGCTTCCATGTGGCAAATTCCCAACTGTACGTATTGCATGCCTCCTCTGTCAAAGAAACAAGCCCGTAAGCTGGGGGCAGCTCAGCACTTCACAGCCTGTGTTATTTTGAAGTTCTTATGTCAAGAAGACAGCATCTATTTTTCTCCTGCTGATGTCAGGTCTGTTGGCTGGTGGGCTCAGAGGCAGGATGAGTGCTGGATCATGGTCTCAAGAGAAACAGAAGTGGACAAATTAGAAGTAAGCCTGTTTCCAGCCAAGAGCACAGCGTTCTCCTCCCAGACTGAGGACAATTCATGCAAATATGATCAGGGATGGGGCACTGGATGAGGAGACTCGCGTTGTAAAATCTGGCAGAAGAAGGGTGAAGGAGTCCTAGCAGCAAAGAAACATTGCACAGGGTTTAGCAACGGGCCACTTGCTAAAGTCTTGGGAATCAACTTTTCTGAAGGGAGAGAGAGAGAGAGGCAGGTGTCCACATTACCAGCACCTCTGACCTGCATTTGCTTCCTCTACTTTGCAACTGGAACGTTCTGGGTGTAGCACACGGGGATGCTGGTCAGGTTTTGCATACTGTAACATCATTCCCCAAGGAATTCTTATTTTGCCTCTAAGTATGTATCTCACAATCCTTGCTGCATTTCTTAAGTTCCTTTCAGGAAAAAGTGTTTATAAATAAAATTCACCTATAATCCCAACCCCAAATAATTCTTTTCTATTTTGCACATTAGCTCCCGTACACACAATTCTCTTAAACACCTCTAATCAAGTACGGATACAAGTTAGCCTGCTCCTTAGCTTTTCATTAGCATATATCAAAAGCATCTTCCCACATTTTCATAAGGACTGTTAGTAATGGCTACAAATGACTTCACTCTGTGGCATTACATTGTTTACATAATTTCTGTTTTAGAGCACAAATGATCTATGTCAGGGCACCTGTGTGGCTCAGTCGTTAAGCATCTGCCTTTGGCTCAGGTCATGATCCTGGGATCCTGGGATGGAGTCCTAAGTCAGGTTCCCTGCTCAATGGGGAGCCTGCTTCTGCCTCTCCCTCTGGCCCTCCCCCTGCTTTTGTTCCCTCTCTTGCTATCTCTCTTTCTGTCAAATAAATAAATAAAACCTTAAAAAAAGAAATTACCTATGTCCTGTCTATTATCTGGCTGCCACGATACTCAGCCACTGTCGTTCCTCGACAAGTATCTGTCAGGAAGTCTTGGTCAATAATCAATAGTATGACAGCATCAGTGTTTATTTTGGCCTCCATCAGCTTCCCACCTCATCCCACTGCTTCTCCTGCTTATTGATCTGGGATCTCCTCCCTCAGTGTTTCCCACCATGGAGATGGAGACACCAGTGGCCCATAGACCCAGCTTCCCACAAGGGGGCACAGACAGTGACTGGGCCCCTCAGAGGCCCACCGAGATGCTGGCAAAGGAGCAGAGCCCACAGAGAACCATCTGGTAGCAAGAGGTACCAACTGCCCCAGGACACAGACCTTTCATTCCAGAGCAAGCTGCACCGTCCTGAGCTCACAAGTGGCCATGCCAGTGTCCCAAGTCCATAGCACGGTCTTGGCCATGACTGTGGTCATTGCCCAGAGCTCCTCCTTCCTGATCCTCAAATGCACCTGCCAGGTCTGAAAACCACTCGATATACTGTTGAAAAGTGTCTTGTCCTCTTCTCTTAGGCTGAGTCTGCTCCTGTTGTTTGCAACTAAGCACCCTGTCTGGTTTGATCTCCTTCCTTTATTCCTATCAAAACCTGTCCAAGGAAATATTGAAAATCTATCCCCACTGAGACATAAAAATATCCCCGTTTGTTCATACAAGCTTTTACTATTGACAGTATTCTTTTTTTCATAATGCACTCTCATTTCATTTATTAAGTCAAAGTGTTCTAACACATAGTTTTATTATATCCAACTTAAAGGGAAGAAAAATCAAGCCCGTAGTGGTTCAGTGACTGCCCCAGATCACACAGTGAACCATCAGATCGTCTAACTCAAAATCCCATGCTATCTTCACTACGGAGCTACCTTCTACCTTACCGTGTTCCATTTCAGGCATTTTGCACAGGGAGGGGGTGGATACTTGGGGCTAATGAGTGGAATAAGAAGAGGGAAGGCTTTTCAGAAGGAAAAATTATACTAAGTAGGGAGTGATCTGTACCACCCAATGGGGAAAGAGGTCTTGTGTGCACATGCACACACGCGCGCACATACACACACTCACACGGCCACACTCATGCACTCGCCCAGCCAATGTAGTCCCCACTCTGCTTTTCCATTACAAGGTGCTAAGCCTCCCATGAATTGGTTAACAGCCAGCCAGCTGAGCAAAACACACCTTGGATGAGCTTGAGCTTCTAGTTTTGTGATACCGAGTGTTCTGTCCATGAGGACTTGAAAACACACAGACCCCCAGCAGAAATGACTCACGCACAGAGGCTCTGTGGAGGGGAGGGGAACCAAATGCTGCTGCTTTGAGAGACACATGAGGGGGGCCGGACACGTTACCTCCTGTTGAACGGAAAGCGTGCTACCTACAGGCAGAAAACATCTATCAGCAGTGGAAGAGCTTAGCTATAAATGCAGGGGAGCCCATCCAAAATGGTTGCAAGGTAAGATTAGAGGAAGGCTCTTGGAGCTTCCCGCTGGGTCCTTGATATTCTAAGGCACAAATACTAGCAGGACCCCATCCGACACGCTGCTGGTGGCAGTAAGGGACAATAGAAAGCACACCGCAGCACCTGAGATGCCAAACTACCAAAAAGAGAAAAAAAAAAGGAACCTAAATCTGGCCAACCCTGTAGAGTCACCAGAGGAAGGGCTTGAGACAAGGATTTGGGGCAGAGGGTTTCACTTGGGAGATGGTCCCTGGAAAAAGTGAGGGAATGAAGAAAGTGAAACCTGGGGGAACAGAAAACGAAGCAGGTGGTCACCCTTTATTAATACATTAATAACAAGACCAATCAGGGATGGTTACCACTGGATGACTGGGCTCGGTCCGGCTGGGGACCCTCCGAAGAACCATCTAGAACAAGACCCACAGAAGGTGGGGAAGCTGGGGGATTTATCTGTCCCTGGTGAAGGGTTCCCAGGAGTTAGTCCTCCCTGTTTCAACGTGGGGCCACAACATCTGTCATTTAAGCTACTCTGAAACAAGGCAGGCCCGCACCAGGAGGCCCAGGGCAGCGCAGACATCTGGCATCCTGGGATGGGGGACCTGCCAAATGTTACCATACAGGTGCAACTGGCCAAATCTGAACCATGGGAAATATCCACGGGACCGATGACCCGGCTACTCCTACCAAAAAAATGGCATCTAAAAAAAAAGGGAGAGAGAGAAACTTAAGAGATGAAAACAGACGTAGAGACATACCAATCCAGTGTCACATGCACTCTTTTAAGAGTCCTAATTTGAACAAAACAACTGTAAAAAGCATCTTTTCAGATAGTTGAGAAAAACTGCATCTGGCCCGAGTATTAAGATGATATTAAGAAGGACACCTCGGTGGCTCATTTTGTTGGGCTTCTGCCTTCGACTCATGTCATGATCATGGGGTCCTAGGATAGAGTCCTGCATCGGGCTCCTTAATCAGCGGGGAGTCTGCTTCTCCCTCTGCCCCTCCTCCCACGTGCACACATGTGTGTGCTCTCTCTCTCTCTCTCATAAATTAATAAAGTATTTTTTAATCTTGTCCTATTAGAAGTCTATACTGAAGTCTTAAAATGTCATGATGACTAAGATTGCTTTAAACTACTCCAGCAAAAAACAAAACAAAACAAAAAAAATCCCAAAAAACTGTTGCTGGGTGTGTCAATGAAATAAGAAGAGCAAAATGATCATTGCAGAAAGGGGGTGATAGATTTTGGTGGTCCATATGCAATTCTCTCTACTTCTATGTAGAGAAAATGTCTATAAACAAAAGTGAACTTGGAAAGAAAGGCAGAAAGCCGTAATAGATTCAGGGAAGCAATGATCCTTCCCCTGCTTTTCTACTGGGCAGCTGTTCTGTCCAAAAATGACGGAACAAATCTCTACCCTGTGTGAGTTTAAGAAAGGGAAGCATTCAGAGGCACCTGGGTGGCTCAGTCGGTTAAGCGCCCAACTCTCAGTTTCGTCTCAGGTTATGATCACAGGGTTGTGGGATCGAGCCCCGTGTCTGGCTCTGCACACAGTGGGGAGTCTGCTTGAGACCCTCTCTCTCCCTCTGAGCCG